TAAATAAATACATTAAAAAGGCATGCTATAAACTATATATTTAGGGGTGACAATAATCCCACTCAACAATGACCTGTTGTCAAAATTAAAATTAAAATAAAAAAATGAACATTAATACCTAACATTGACCCATTATCTTTTGTTTAAACACATTTAAATAAACTGTTATTAATAAGGGAGTAGTTTTTAAATGATATTTAAAAAACAAAAAAAGTAAATAATTACTTTTAACACTCTAAATTAACAAGTAAAAGACAATTAAAATTAAACAGAAGAATATATTGTAATTTTTTTTTATGTAAAATAAGTGAATTAATATATATTAGCACATGAATATTGTAAATTTTATAATAAATTTTTATTATTAGAAAAATTAAAATCAAACCTTAAATTTCCCTTTGTAAAATGATAGCAAACATTCACACGTTAACAGTTCAGCACTCTTGCTCCTTTCCCCTTTTTTATATTTTTATTTTTTTGATGCAATTAGACACTTTTCCTGCTTTTCTTTTGTTGTCACAAACTTGGCTTCATGCTATTTCTTTGATATAGTTCTTTGTTCTTTCATATCCGTTAATCTTGCATGATGCAGTATATATTGTTGAAAATTTTTTATTTGTACAAGGTTGTAAGCTGCTGCTAATTTGTAATTTTTGATTTAATAAAACATGTTCACGTATTTTAGTACAAAACATTAAGATATGTGTGCAAAGTTCAATTATTATTATCAATAAAGGTTGGTTGTAAAATATCTTATATTGTAATTATTGTGAAAGTGTAGGCATTCATAAGCAGGTAATGATACCTTTCAAAACGGACCTAACTTGAATATGAAAATGTATTTTTTTATCAACAATATTATAAATACAATATTTTTTACAATATTTTATATAATTTTATATAATTAATGAGATTTTTTTATTTATACTTATACACATCAATCCACACATAACCCTAAAATAAAATGACTCAATTATAAAATATCAAACATAATGTATGCTATTATACTTTGCTACATATAATTGTAGGTTTTTTGTGTTTTACAATCATAAAAAATATATTTTTATATTTTCATATTTTGTGTATTTTTTAAATAAAATATAGGCTGATGAAAAAACTGTATGTAATAAAAAAATATAAATATTAAATAAAATTACTAAAAATATACTTAAAATTAATTATTATTTTTTTAATAAATAAATATTTTTTACCTTAATTTTATTATTATTTAGTCATTTTAATTAATTATTTAATTACAAAATTTTCTCTTTATTTTTTAAGAATATTATAAATAAATATAAATATTATCTTCAAATTTTTAATTTTAAAAAAAATTTTAAAAAATAATTATTTTGAGATTGAATGAGTACTCGTTATCAGTAACAACAAAAATAAATTTAATAATAATATTTATTTTCAACATATTTCTCCTTTTATATATATATATATATATATATATATATATAAAAGACAGGATAAGTGATTTAACTTGTGAGGAGAAAATAGTTGGGAGAAAAGTTACATGAGTTTGAACTCTCACTAACAGATGAGAAAACTATTTTTATTTAGAGATTTTTCAACATATTTTGAACAAAATGTTTTGTGAAGTTGGAATTGTACAAAATTAATTATTAATAAATGAGTAGTTCTTAAAGTATACATATAATTTAATTCTTAATTTAAAAATAAAAAAAATAAAAGCTAAGATACTTTGACATTTAAAATATTAAAATTTTCTAAAAATTATTTAAATACTTTTAATTAAATTTTATTGTGTTAATTCATTAGAAATATTTTAATTTTTTCCCTCTCAATTATGATATTTTAATTATCAAGTGATTTTAATTTTTCTCAATCTTTTAAAAAATTTATTTTTTTTTTTTCAGAAGAAAAAGTGAACATTAATACCTGACAATGACCTCTTATCTTGTGCCTAAACACATGATAAATAAACTGTTATTAATAATATTCACTTTTTCTTCTATTCTTTTTTTTTTTCAAAAGAAAGAGGTGAACATTTTTTTTATATCTAATAATAATAAATTATATAAAAAGAGATAACTTTTCTTTTTTTCTAATCCTTTCTCACTTGTTTCAAAATTTAAATTTAAGATCTTTAACTTAAAATTTTAAACTATTAACCATTAAATCACGTTTTTAGAAGTTAAAAAAAAAAAAGTGAACATTAATACTTAACAATGACATCTTATCTCATGCCTAAACACATGATAAATAAACTGTTATTAATAAGGAAGAAGTTTTTAAATGATATTTTAAAAGCAAGAAAAGTGAATAATTACTTTTAAGCATTCTAAATTAACAAATAAAAAACAGTTAAAATTGAAAAAAAGAATATACTGTAATATTTATTTATTTTTTCATGTAAAATAGGTGAATTAAAATATATTAATGCATGAATATTGTAAAATTTATAATAATTTTTTTATTAGAAAAATTAAAATCAAACAGTGACCTGTTATCTTGTGCCTAAACATTAATATCTAACAATGACCCATTATCTTGTGCCTAAACATTGATACCTAATAATGATGGTGATGTTATTGTTACGGAAAATGATGTGTG